GTTTTTTCACCAAAATCAAATTCTGATCACTAGCCACATCTTCATTTTCTTCACTTAACAATCCCAAACGTGTTTGACTTCCAAAAGCACCAGTTTTAGCATTCCAAAGCCTTTGAAAACTTGGGGATTGGGAAAGCTTGAAATAACAAGAGTTGGGTAGTGATTAGTTTTGGGTAACAACTTTGATGGGTACCTCAAATTTCGATTAAAAAGCATGAAAGATGATGACCTTGTTAAAGAAATGGAAGTGGGTTGGCGGAGAATTGAGGGTTCAAGTGCCATTTCCATCAATAAGTCAATAACCTAAAAAAACAAGCAAAAAAGATTGAAACTTGTTTCAACAAAACTGGAAGTGAAAAAAAAAAAAAGAAAAAAGAAGAGAACCAGGTTTTATTGAATTCCCATGGAAACGTGGTCTCTTCATTACTCCAAGAGGGGGTTTTTGCAAGAAGGCTTATGTTTGGTAAAGGAAGATTTTGCCTGCAAGTAGGAAGTGACTGAAGCAGAAATTACATAATTCCCTGATAGAGGTAGTATGTACACGTGGATTCCACCTCAGATAAAAAATAAAAATATTTAAAGAAATATAATCTCTTCAAATTCAATTAGAAAGGATTACTCTTTAAAAATTTTAAAAGAGAAATCAATCTTAAGATCTAAAACTCTAAGAAAATTTATCTTTATTTAATATCTTAAATTGGGTTAATGCGAGAAGAATTGAGAGGACAAAGATTAGAGAGTGTTGTTATCAAAAGAGAAAAGGGTTTTTTAATAAGAGCTCATGTGTGATCAATTATAGTTGTTTAAGGTCTGTGATTGATTTATCCTGATTAAGGGAATGGATCTTATATATAAATATATATATTTTATTGCTTTATAGTAAATGTTTGATTTCATGGGATTTGGATGATAATTAATTGATATTATGAGGTGAATTTTTGGAATTTGAGACTGTAAAAGAAGATTTAGGTTTGCTCTAGGTGGTGATGTTTCATTTCAATAATTGTGATAAATTTGATAGGTGATTGAGTTAGTTAATTTTGCAGACAATGGATTAAGTGGAAAAGAATTTTCAGGATGATTTTGGGATGGAAGTGAACTTTGGTTTTGGACAATGGAAAATGATAAGATTATATGGCAGTTGTATTAATTTTTCTTGAAGTTTGTTGCGACACCTGTTTGCTAAATTAACATCTGGATCATTTTGTGTGCTATCTCACGAAATGGATCTTGGGATGTTGGGAGGCTGCATAATGAGGCTCGTGTAGAATACCAATTTGCTATGCTGTTTTCTAGAGATGTTAAGAAAAGTTGCTATAAAGGGAATGATTTTGCAATGTTCTTCAATACTATCCTTTTTTTTCTATCTTCGGTGGACTCAAAAGTGTTATGTATGTTCTCATGACATGTCCATTTAATGGGTTTGAGTTTAAGGTTGGTTTTGAGTTAAAAGGAAAACAAGGTAAGGCGGTATATGTTGGGGAATTAAGGGATTATTCTAGTTGAGTTTTGGGAATGTTTTTTTTGGATTGCTTGGATGGCAAGATGTTAATGTTGCTGATATCTAGGTAATTATAATGGTGCTACATGTTTTTCAAAGTCTTCTTGGTTTTAAAAGTTTTCTTTTATTACTGTCTCTCAATCAATAATAGTAGTATCTTGGGTCTGTAAAGCTTGAATTAAGACCTTGAAAGAAATGGGACGCTGTGAATGAGATTGATAAGCTTACTAAGAAGATTGGAGTGGTTGATTTTATTCATATGTTTAGAAAAGCTAGTGTTTTGCTAACTCTTTAGCTAAGTGCGGTGGATTGAGCTGGTTTCTTTCATGTTTGGTTGCAAGCTATTCTGATTTTTAGAGGAAGATTCGATTTGAGATGTTATTGGCTTATAGAGGCTTTATTTTGCTTATCATTTTGAGAAAAAAAATTAGAAACAGAAACCAATCTAGTAGATTGTTTTAATTACTGACGTAAAATCTTTGTATCTATATCAATTTTCTTCCTCCCTTTTTTTTTTTCTTGAAACAACTGTTTTTTATTTTTCAAAGATCAAGCCTTTTACATTATTCCAAAAACACCACCTGCATCCACAAAGGTAATATCTTGAAAATAATTTGTTCAGTGGTGATTTCTTGCTTTCGCTATGAACTAAAAATGAAGAAGAACCATTCAAATGATCAAGTCAATGGGCATTTATATTACTTGAAATTTTTTTAGGTATCTTCTTATTAAGAAAGAGAATTATCCTTTGTTTACAGAAATTACTGGATTTGAACGCAGAACAACAAAGCTGTTCACAAATCATAAGTCACAATTAAGAGTGACCTTAAATGAAAAACTATACTATTTCATCTTCTTGCTTGCATGTTGACATTGCTTTTCGAAATCACTGTCTTTGCCCAAGTACTCTGTTGTGGAATCTCTGTTTCATAGACATGCCATTCTTTGTTGATGCAACTTTAAAACTCTTCAAATTCAGCTTCACCGTTTGTTTGTTTAAGTTACTTAATGTTCTTAGTTTTTTCATTTCTTCAATGTACACTATGAGTAATCAAAATGTGGAGAGGGCATAGTATATTCTTTAAGCACCACCGGTCATTTGCTGTCAATCAGAATTAAGAGTTGTTGTCATGGAACTTGTGTTTTCATCTATTGTCTTATTGCCTGAGGGTTATAAATATATTCAAATTAATTCATTTAATTGCTTCATTCTTTAGGCAGTTAAAATCAACACAAAAATTGGTAAAATGAATAGGAAATTTTTCAACTTCATCCATGTACAAGATTTGGTAAAGAGTAAATTATAACCTTATGAATTGATGAACCAAGATAAGGAAATTTACTGCTATAATTGTGTATAACTGCAAATAAACAATACAACATACCATCTTTTGAATCAAGATGTAAATGATTAGGTGAAAATAAATTCTAACCTTATTAATTGATGAATCAAAATATCGAAACTATTGGTACAAATTTGAATTTGTTTGCTGCAAATAAAAAAAACTACAATCTTTAGAAGTTTAAAATTGAAAGAGATTAGAGGCATACCTGTAAGAACTATTTGACTATACATGCAAAGAATCTGATCGGTTTCTTTCTATATTTCCCATTTCTTAGCCCTTTTTCAAGCCATTTACCAATAAATTCTGTTGAGAATTTTCAGTTATAGCTTCCATTTCCATATAGCGTTAATATTTTTGTTAGATGGACGCTCGAACTAGTGTCTTTGCACCATCAATTGAGCTACGTAAAAGCAAATGGAGATATGGGATCCACCAATTGGAGAGCCCCATTGACTGGTTGAGAAAATTAAGATGAGATGACCAAGAAGGGAAGACCTGAATGCTGGAACTAGCTTCTTTATAAAATAGAATTTTTCTACTTTATAAATCAAGATTTAGTTATTGCTCGGATACAATTCGATTAACTATAAAGGGGAATTGGCAATTAAATTTTTGATCCACCATTTTTTATTCCCTACAAAGAGATAGAGAAAATGATTGTAATTTGAACTAGATAACCGAAGATAATTGTTTTTCATCTTATAAAGTGATGCTAAATGATATCCTCAATTGTTCAAAGTTAAAACTTATAAATTTCAATTTCAAGTTCTAACCATTAAATTTTTTCTTTTAGAAAGTTAAATGAGTTTTTGATCTATGTACCACAAAAATAAATAAGTTTTGTTTGGCTATTTCTTTGACATTATTTACTTTTGCTTTAGGAAGCAAATGGTACAAAACATATAAATTTGAAATAAGAAAACAAAAAAATTCTCACTAATTAAAATTAATTAAAATATTTAATCTTATTGCTAAAATATTTCATTGATCTTCCAATAAAAAATAAGTCAGTTCGAATCACATTTTTATTTTCATCAAATAATAAAAAATATTGAACTAAGAAATTTTTTTTTTTTTTTGAAATGTGATTCAAATTTGGCTTTTTAAATTACGAAAAAATACATAAAAATATAAAATATTTATTGCATTGATTTAGTAAATTCAACTAAAATTCCCAAAAAAAATCTGAAACAACATAAAAATTCAATTTTAAATTCCACATAACATCAATAACACGATAAGTACCTTGATTAGCACCAAGTACAATTTATTCTACCAAAACAGAAAAGACTGCAACAACAAACCTTACAAATTTCTTCGTCCTCTGCAATGGCTGCTCAATTTGTGGCCTGCTCCTTCAACCATCCGTACAAGCCATTTTGGTTTTCCAAGCGTGAAGATGATATAGATATTCTGATCACCAGTCCACTTCCATAGCCCATCAATGCCGCTTTCCATTCAAATCCGGACTCAGAATCGGCTTCCTCAGGCGTCACAGCCCCAGTCTTGCCACATATCTTTGACAATGGAATTCCGCACAAACCCGGGTTCCCGGAATAGGAATCATTAAGGAAGGTATTAAATTGATTTCCCAGAGGTATGGGTCCAACAAGCTGATTTTGTGAAAGGTTTAACACTTCAAGAAATCTCAAACCAGCCAACAGAGTAGGAATCTGTCCAACAAGCTTGTTTGAAGAGAGATCCAATGATTCCAGTTCTGTCAAGTTCCTTATTGTTGAAGGAATATAACCTGTGAGGTTGTTATGGGAAAAATTAAGCACTTGGAGAGAAGAGAGCTTCCCAACTATTTATGGAATTTCTTCACCAAATAGGTTGCTTGACAAATCAATGGCTGTAAAAATAGTTAAAATTCTCTCAAATTTGATGTCCACACCTTTCATTGTAACTACCACGGTTATCATGGTAATAATCATTTTGATCTCCCATATATCTCATTTCAACGTTAGCCAAGTTCACAATGCTTTTGAAATTTTCAAAACATGTTGGCAAAGAACCAGAGAACCCATTGCGAGAGAGGTCAAAGATTCGTAAGTTTGAAAACGAATATCCAATGTTGGAATTTGTTATTTGTCCATGAAAGTTATTAGAGCGCAACACAAAAACTTTTTAGCTCCGGTAGAGCTCCCAACCAATTAGGAAAGGTTGTCGCTGATCTTGTTGTTTCCAACATTTAGCACTTCTAACTGACTGCAATTCATCAGGGATTTTGGTAATAGCCCATCCAAATCATTATTGCTAAGATTAATTGTCTGCAACACATTTTCCTTGACAAAAGAATCAGGGATATTTCCATGAAACGAAGGTTAAGAATCTGCACATTCTTCCATGGGTAATGCTCTATATCTGTCAAAACGTTGTTAGAAAGATCAAGCCATGTCAAACTAGGCCATCCTTCAGATTGCCCCATGGAAATTTTACCTTGTATGCTGTTGTTGGAAAGATCTAACAAAGTCAATTCCTCAAGGGGCCTTAAGAAATGTGGAAATTAAGTTGTATTGCATGAAGATAATAGCAGTGTCTCAAGACTGGGCAAAGGAAGGCTGAGATTGGTGCCGAGTGATAGTTCACTGTTGTAGGAAAGATCAAGCCACCTGACATTCTTGAGCTTTGAAAACATACCTGCCTCAATAACATTGATTCTATTGTAAGAAAGAACTAGCTCTTCCAAACCTTCTAGATTTCTTACAAAATCTGAAAATTCACTGATGTTGCAAGAAGAACATGACAATGACCGAAGGTTAAGAAGAAAAAGGCTGACATTGTTGGTGGTGCTCAGTGATAGTTGACTATTGTGGGAAAGATCAAGCAACCTGAGATTTTTGAGCTTTGAAAACATATCTGCCTCAATAGCATTGATTCTATTATAAGAAAGGTCTAGCTCTTCCAAACCTTCTAGAGTTCCAACAAAATATGGAAATTCACTGATGTTGCAGGTAGACAACTTCAAAACGAAAAGATTGGGAGCCAAGACCTAATTGGCTTTGCTTCCACTCTTAAATGACAGTAAAGTATTATTTGAAAGATCTAAGTTCTCAAGTTTGTTGAGATTCGGAAGATTGTTGGGTTCAGAGATCCCGGTCAGCTTGTTTGATGAAAGGTCAAGAGACGTAAGGTTTAGAAGTGCAAAGACAGAACTTGGAATTGGGCCATGTATCTCATTATTCATCAAGTAAACAGACTCCGATGAAGCAGAGGGTTGATCAAATTGGTCAATCGGACCAGTAAACTTGATATCGTTAAGATATAAGTCAAACAAAGATGGAAGGGTAAACAACGATGGTGGGATTCTGCCACTGAGGAAGTTACCAGATAAGTCAAGACTAGATAGTAATGAAAGGCCACTAACTTGAGAAGGAAGGGAACCCACCAGTTTATTTTGTGACATGTCAAGATAAACAATGTGTGAGAGGTCAAATACCGAAAATGGCAAATGCCCGCTAAATTGATTATCCCTTAAAGACAAATGAAAAAGTTTAGTGAGGTTTCCAAAAACATCAGGAAACTGCCCATGTAGTTGGTTACCAGAAAGATCTAAATATCTGAGCTGGTTAAAATTCGAAAATGAAAATGGAATTGACCCTTTTAAATTGCAAAAACCAAGATCCAATACCTCCAGGAACCTAAGATTACCAATAGAACTAGGCAGTGGTAGTTCTCTTGCGATGTTTACAGAAAAGACTTCTAGTGACCTGAGGGGACTACTCCAATTACTTTTTGGGAAGTTAACTTCCAAGGAATCATGATCAGTAATTCTGAGCTTCTGGAGGTATGGAAAGCGGAAAATACCTTCAGGTAATTCTCCATGCAGGTCATTATCACTGAGGCTGAGAACCATTATGGAAGAAGACAAGTTTTGAAAATAAGTAGGTGCAACCCAAGACAAATCGATTGCATCAAGAAAAAGTTCTCTTCTTTGCGTCAAGTTTCCCAAAAGATTTTCAAAACTATTGCCCTCAAAGCTCAAATCATTATGAGATAGATCAAGAGAAACAAGTTTATGCAGGTGAGAGGACATTGCAGATGGGATCATGCCCGAAATGTATGAGTTTAGAAACATTTAGATGGGTCAAAGATGTAAACTGACCAAACTCAGATGCTATTGGAGACGAGCTAAAATCATTAAAAGCAAGGTTGATTTGCGCAGATGACGAAGCAGAATGAGGCTAGTGTTGGAGGAAATAGTTCCACTAAGGCAGGTGCAACTGAGGGTGGAGACCAATCACCTAACCAGTTTCTACATCGCACATAACCCCATCCACAAACAGCAATTGGTACCTGCTTTCCAAGAAGCTTGTCTTGGGATAGTAGCAGTTAAGGACAAGAATTGTAATCGACTGATAAGGTATTTTTGAATTGGAGCAAGGCCAAAGCGTCTGGTCAGGAGGGCAATGCCGTGGGGGGTACTAGAGGAATTGAAAGAGAGACAATGAGCAATCAAACTGAAAATGCAGGAGCACGATCAGGAAATAAAGGACATGAAACCACCCGCAGTTCAAACATTTCCATGTGTCTTTGAGAAATGATCAATGTTGAGAGACACGAGAGTGGATAGGACATTTACCTATGATTTCAAGTAAAATAAATAGTCTCCTTCTGCTACCTTTCCTATGCATATCAGATTTTCTTCAGTCATATTTCCAAGTCCAGGAACATTTTCCACATGTTCACCACATCCACATGAATTCTGGTTTTCCCTTGGATAAAGCTTGAATGATGATAATCCCCATTTACAAACAACTAATAATAACTATTGAGACCAAAAGATCTAAGGTCTTGTTCTACTAAATTTATTAATTGTTTATGAAGAATCCATTAAAGCTGGCATACGCACTTTGCATCCACAAAAAGTCTTGCAGCATTGACAAAAGATGAGATGATCAAGAAGATTAATTAATAGTGCACCTAGCTTCATTGCACCGTCAATCAAGCTAAACAGGGATAGTGCAAAGGAACATATTTCCACAAGATTATGGAAAAATATTTTGCTTGCAATTAAATGGGTGTCATTTTCAATTAATTGCATTGAAACTAAGGGGAGGTTTCATTTGTCTGCCACAAATATAAATTAAAAAAAAAAGAACAAGGAAAAAAACTGTGTCATTCAGGAAACTCTGAGGTAGAAATTATGTAAAGTGTTCTTGTCTAAAAATTAAAATAGTAATAAATACTATTATGTAATTACACCAATTATGTAATGTCCCATAAATCAAGCCTGGTTCACTTTTTGGCAATTTAATTGACAGACTGAATAAAGTAATGATAGACAGAAAGATCAAGGAATGTCAGACTTTGGTGATGAAGAACCTAGAAAAATTTACCAGTTCGTTGAACATGGAACTGGCCTTGGCGTTTAACTAGCTACATATCCAAATTACAAATGAGTTTGCTTTCAATGATTTTTCTTTCAGATTTTTTGAATTGTTCATGGAAAAGAAAATCCTTGATTTCATTTATATTTGCAGCATTTCTTTGGTTTTAGACACCAACAAAGATTTATAGCAAGCAAAATTGCTATTGAAACCAATAACCTTAAAAGAAAACTTATTGCTACTAGTTATTGAAGCCAGAAAATGGCTAGGGTTGTGTTCTACAAAACATCCACTATTACATGACTAATGAGTAACACTTTTTTGTTTTTTTATAAAAAAGGTAACACTTAATTTTGTTTGTTTTCACACTTCAACTTTGCAAGGCCTTTGAGGGTCACTCCCTTTATCCTCCACAGGGAGGCCAATTTGCAGTCTGAGTGCTACCTCCATTAGAGAAAAGATGAGAGTGGGACAACTAAAAGTGGAAGACCTGTCCATGTCAATTGACTTGGTCTTGCTTCCTAGAAATGGCATCGCCAATCAAACTAATCTAAAAGCAAAGAGGAAAATTTGGACACATTTGATCCAATCATACATTATTTACTTTGCTTTCTTTAATGTATCAAAAGAGGTTTCAATTGAGCTACCTAAAGAGCAAATAGAGACAAGGGATCCACCACCTGCAGAACCCCATTGACTGGTTGAGAAAATTAAGATGAGATGACCAAGAAGAGGAGCCCTGAATGTTAGAACTAGCTTCTTTGCACAGTCAATTGAGCCACCTAAAACGCAAATTGGGACATGGGATTCACCAATTACAGAAAACTACTCGTTAGTGCACTGGACTTCAAGGCATTCAGAAAACATATAACACAATGAGGGCATATGTTGAAAATTTGACAAACCATTGGAAAGAAACTACACTGCAAATGCATGATGAGTTAGAAGTTGCAGATAAATTAAATATAGGTAATTACTTTCTTCACCTTTTTCCTTTTAGACCAAGAATTTTGAGCATTCCCATTGATAGATATGTGACAATTCTTCCCACTGGATATGGTGTTACAGAAAGCCATGCAGCTGGCCTGACGTAGAAATATTGCAACCACAATTAGTCAGCCAATTTTGAATTAGTACTGATAACTTTGGCAGAGTACCAAGAAAGCCATGAAACATATAGAATAAAAGATAAGAAAAAAGGCTACGCTGTTTTAACACACATGGCTAGTAATGAAATTTAAAGACCCAAATGATGGGGCAAGAAAAGAAAAAATTTACCACAAAACTGGCAATTTCTGTGGAGTTGTGAACAGCTATACTCTATGGAGTGATCTCAGTTAGAAGTAATATGGCAACCTAGCACCATTGAAGAAACGTTAACTGGTTTCCGTATTATTGCATGTAGTATATACGTCATTTCACTTACCTATATTCATGTGCAGGCCAAGCACAAGTTAACTGAAAAATAATTATAATGACCTAACATAAATTCACAATACGAGGACACAAAGATAGGCAGACATGCCACACACAAACACAAATCAGAGAACAAGATATTGATACATACGGTCATTACTCCAGTTGCCGTGCTAACACCAGCTTCCCCAAATATTGCTGTTGTGGCACCTACGACCAGGGATTTAAATAGCGGTCGCGGTCACGTTTTCGGTTGCGTAGCATTTGTCGCGTTTTCGGATATAACGGAGATAATTGCGGTCACTGCGGTCATCACGGTCGTGAAATTTTTTTTTTTTTTGCACAATTTATTATAAAATGTAATAATTATAATTATAATTATAAAAACTCTTATTCAATGATTTTAAAAATAGTTTATGACACTCTATGTTTTTTATTTTCTAAAAAAATTATTCACAATTTTATTTAGATTATAAAAAGCATTCATATTTGATTTATCCATAAAATTTTTTTTGGCCAAGTTCATATTCAATATTAATTCTAGACAAATCAAATATTAACAAAACATAATATGTTAAATACCAAGCATTTAATTTAATAAAATTACAAACTTAAAAATATAATAATTTCAAATTCCATCAACTACAATTATTGATACATATTTCAAATTTACCACATGGTAGAATGACGAGGAGGATCAGATTCTCTATCTTCACTTTGAGAGCCAAGTTGACTCCATCTCCATCCCTGAGACCTTTGTTCTTGATACATTTGAGGTGGAGGATATATTTGAGGATGATACATTTGTGGTGGAGGGTACATTTGTGGTAACTGATACATTTGAGGTGGAGGATATATTTGAGGAGGTGGAGGATACATTTGAGGTGGATAATAACCATATGGAGGTGGATAACCATGATGAGGTTGAAAATTATGTTGTTCTGGTGGATAGTAATGTCTTTGAGTACTAGCAGATGATTCACTATACTCAAAGTTACTAGAATTTGGTCTCTCACCTGAAGATGAAGAACCTCTAGAAATTTCATAGTGGTGCTTCTTTGCTTTTCCTTTTGATCGAGCTGTACGTGCACTTTGACCCTCACTAGATTCAGCAAATGGATTTTTTTCGTATTCTGCCATATTAATAAAAAGTCCACCAGTAGCAGCAAGCCCAAATTCTCCTCCAAGTGGGCTGTAAGGTCGATTTGCATCCATATTATCACCAAAATTCGCACCATCACCATCACCATCTCCATCACCATCTCCATCACCATCATCATCTGGACTTAAACCACCACCATCATCACTCTAACTTGGTGTTAGACTTGAACTTGAATGAGACACATTCCTTTCTTGAGATTGACGTGATCGTTCAACATTCATTTCATTATCAGAATTATCTGCAGGTAACCAATCAGAGTTTTGACCATCTAATAGAGGATTTTCTTTCTCTTGCAGCCATTCTGTTAGTGGATCATCATCTTCAAAAATATGGTCAAGGCTAATAGGATTAAAACTATTATTTATTTCATCAATGCTCATTCTTTTTTAATGTCTCATCCTCAACCTCATGTTATAATAGGTATATACAAGTTTCTGGAGTCTTGCAAACTTCAATCTGTTTCTTGCTTTGGTGTGAATATAGCTAAATGTGCTCCAATTACGTTCACAATTTGATGCAGATGTTGTTTGACTAAGCACTTTGATTGCTAGTTTTTGTAATTCAGGAACACAAGTGCCATATATCATCCACCACTCAGCTGTATAAAATTATTTAAATTAAATTTCAATGGGCTATACAATTAAATAATATAAATAAATTATAATTATTTAACTTACTATTTACCTGGATTCATTTGCTTCCAAGCTCTTTGTGCTTGTGGACTACCAAATGTTTCATGCTTGTCTCGAAATAATAACAACTACATCATTGAAAATACAATAATAAATGAATAAATAAAAAATAATTTAATTTTTAATACATAAAACAAATGTTAAAGTTATAAAATAGTATTAAATACTAACCTGATTAATCATTCTGATTTGAGTATCTATCGAAGGTTCTAATATTTCAATAACTGCTTTTATACCTTCTAATGTTTCCTTAAATACATTTGCAGAATGTTCCACTCCAAATTGAAATTGTGGATTTAGATAGTAACCTAAACATAATTTATAACAATATTATATTAAAGTAATAAAAAATAAATATATAAGCAATTTAAGTATAAAAAATAAACATATTTTTTAAATACCATCTATATTCTTGGTTTACTTACCAGCTGAATGCAAGTCAGAGTGCATGAAACTCCATCTATTGTCAATAATCTTT